AATTTCGATGTAAAACACTGACAGTGGCCAGAAAGTAATGATGGAAACTTCGAATGCCTTGGTCTCAAACGTGATTTATCGCTAAGGGCCCTTTCCCCGGAAAATTCGTGAGTTTTGAAAATATTAACACCCTCATTTGTTGCTTCAGTTTAAAGCAGATTTCAAAGGTTCAACTCATCTTTTCTAACTTCAGATATGGAAGCGATGGAAATGTTAATTTTTTTTAGCGCCCCTACTTTCCCAAGAAAAAGCAAACTGGTGTCATGAATGGCTCATTGTATTAAAGAAAATATGATGATATCCATACCCTCTTCAGCAATCTCTTATCTTGCGAGAGAAGTTTCAAAGCGTCCTCTAGTACCGTGTATCATATCTGGGCGCAAATAATTGTTCAGAGCCGCAAAGATCGTGCAGTTCTCGCTATAAGTTTTAAGAGGCAAACTGCACGGTGTTCAAAGATGAGAGTAGGGAAATTAGACTCAAAGTACTCCGATTTCCAGTCTCCTTACACTCATCTAGCAGCCAAACTTAGGTTTGGTGAAATATTTATTTTTTTTTAAACTAGATCAATAATTTGGGCTGGGGAAGGATTATGTATACTTCTTTGATTAGTCATCACGAGCCCATAAAGCATTGACATCCATAAAATGCAGGATTAAAAAATCCGATTTAACGTTCAAATTCATTCATGACACCAATAATACTTATTTTTTATTTATAACAAGTCGTATGGTAACATTCACCAAAGATGAGACCACTTCATGATAAGAAATCCGGTTTTTAATTCATTCGGTAAAACATAAAAAGAGTGCGATATCAGCAAATCAATCGACCGTTTTAAAAAGGGAAAAATTTCAAATACCAAACCGATTTCCTATTCTATGACAGCAACGGTCGGGCCACAAAGACAGGCAAGGAACGACCCGAGCGTGCAAAACGGAATGCATAGATGCACGCGAGGCAGCAAGGAAGCGGCGCGGAGACAGCGCGAAACGCAGAAGGGGGGAGGGGGGGGGGCACCGATGCGGCGAATCGAGGAACGACGAAACGCCGGGTGAAATGCGAAAGGAGGGACGCGACGGAGCGGGAGCGCCGCGACGCCCGGCGCACGGATGACGTGCGGGACGCGGACGGCGAAGAAAGTAGTGAAAGCATTTCTCCGGCGGCGCCCCGCCCCCGAAGAAAGCGGTGCCGTAACGAAGCTGGCGTAACGGAGCGGCGAAGAAAGTATGACGTCACGCCTTTCCTCGCCGTCGCTTTGTTGCGCTGCTTCGCGCCGCACTATGGTCCGAATAGCCGGTTTAAGCGGCAATAAATCGAAAAAGTGAAGTTTGGAAAAACTTTGATTTTAAGAAGTAGATCGATAGTACATACTGTAGAGAAGACTCCTGTAAAATTTCACTTCGATTAAAGCACTAATAAAGATGTGACAAGCCTGGGAAGTGCGGCGCGCGGAGCACTTTATGAGTGCGATTCCAGTTACCGCGCGGCAGTGCTGTGTTTAAGGGCTTGTTTTCGTCGTTTCACCGTACCTGAAAGTGTTTGGGCACTTGATTCACAAAATATAAGATAAGTTTAAGATGTTTCATGCTGAAACTGTTCTTTTTCATCATATCTAATGTTCTAGATTAACCCTTAGACATAGTCACTTTTTTCAATAAATTCGCAAAAGTAGGACCCAAAAAATATCCTTTGCACCTCTGAGCACCTCGTAATTTTACTCGGAAGTTATTGTCATGACTCTAGACTACCTTTTAGTCTGAGTGGCAGATCAATCACACACAATCGCCTCAAGTTATTTCTTATGAAAAATGACGTTTTCGCGTTTCTTATCACTTGCTACAATTAGCTATCATATGCCATTGGCGATGACTTTTATCATGTTCCATTGTCATATTCTAGCAAATCGAATGCATTAGAGCTTAAATCTGCCCAGGCAGAATAATACGAGTTGATGGGGTTGATGGGGACCAAATTGAAACTTGTGCTCAAGAACAGCAAATAATCGCCTCGGGAGGCTACTTTGAGGCCCCGTAAAAGTTTTTTTTTTGACGTTTTAAGTGTTTCAAACATATAATCTATCAGTGTAGATATATGTTAGCATAAGTTTAGCTTGGCAGACGAAGACAAGTCTAAACGGTTGATCGGTGGGACTTGAAAGTAAGGCTCCCGAGCAATGAAATTGTCTTAGGAAGCTACTTTAAGGTCCCGTAAACGTTTTTTTTTACGTTTACCCATGTTTCAAACAAATAATCTATCAAAATGGATATATTTAAGCTTAAGTTTAGCTTGGCAGACGAAAACAAGTTCAAACGGCTGATCGGTGGGACTTGAAAGTAGGCCTCTGGAGCCATGAAACGTAGAAGTATTATCCTGAGCTGTCTTTTTCAAGTTCCCTTGACAGTAGCGTTTGACGAGGCTCTACTTTTAGCTTCTTATAGTCCATCCAATGTAAAATTAATTTTTAAACTTATAAAAAAAAAAAAAAAAAAATCTATCGAGAATCGAACCCGGGATATCAAGAAGACGAGTGAGACGCGATGTCAACGGCTCCACCGCGTCACTTTGAACGACATGCCTCAATTTAAGGTTTCTGAACAAAATATTACCACAGTTATATAAAGTATAAAAATGTTAAAAATGGATTTTTCCTGAAGAATATTAGCATTTTTGCACTCAGCGACCCTGAAAACCCCTGAAAACTCATGTTGCGAGGTTTAAACATACATATCTGATTTAATGCCGCTTAAACCGGCTATTCGGACCATAGTGCGCCGCGGTGCGGGCCCGCGGACCGCTGCACGGTTGCGGTAACCGGTTTGGCTCGGCTCCGACGTCGTTACGTCGATCCGCACCCGCACGCAACCGCCGCGCAGCCTTGGCCTCAACCGGTCGCGACTGCCCTCGCCCTGGGTCTCTTTTTCACATCTGCGAGACGATTTAAGGGATGAAAATCCTCATTTTAAGGGGAAATAGCGAACGAATCGACTAAGATGACTTGCTGGAATGGATATGCGCTTGAAACTTCCCTAGAGAAAAGTCTTTCGGACCTGAAGTCCAGACTCTTACAAAATTTGACGAGAAAAAATACTCTTGATTGAATCGGATTTTTTCTTGGATCAAAGTAAAATCCGCTTTAATTAAGGGGCTTGGCTCTTGATTCAAGCAAAAATCCGATTCAATCAAAAGTATTTTTCATTGTCAAATTACTGAAGAGTCTGGACTCTGGAGCTAAGAGACTTTGGTTCCAGTGTTCCATGCACATTTTAGCTTTGATTAGACGTAATCGTAGTGAAAAGGAAAATTAACAAATTGATTACCTAAATCAAAAGAAATTAATTGCACAAGGTTTGCGAGCTTCAGCGTTTCTTTAGATTCAATTTTTGGCACATACTTCCATGTAGCAAAAATGTGTCAAATATTGTTTGAAAGGTATTGCTCCGATTCAAGTGTTCACGCCAAAATTTTAAGACGCTCCATGAGACATCTTGGACTTTAAAACATCTTAAAAATCTCCTTTCTAAGATTCGAATGCAAGGAAATTGACGCGACTGGAACGCTATATCTGGACTGCGTTTTGCAATACTTGAGGAACTACAATTTCTGGCTCATAGATAAAAACACACATCTGCGTGAAGAAACTAATGGCGCATATTTTGTTTCTAAAATGGGTCAGAAATTATAGTTCCTAATTGCAAAATGCGGTCCGTTTCATGAGGTAACTATTCAGGCATCAATGCAGCCGAATTGCCTGCATCTAGAGAAGAAGGCGGCCCCTAAGTACGAGAGTTCCAGCATACGGCTCTCAAAGTAACAGTTGGTTTTGTTTGGAGCAACTCCGAGGTACTCGTCTCGTTAAATTCGCATGTAATTTTGTTTATTGACGTTGGAAGTTGTGCGCGTAGGACGTCACCGAGCAACTTTCCTGCCGTGTCGTTGACTCCAGACGTTGGCAATGAGAACCCGTCGACCAGTCACCTGCTCGAACGGTTGCCAAAATCGGCGAGTCGATCGCGCGTCAGAACCCGCTCCGACGACGATTTACGAGCGACTTTTTCCGACTTTCACGAGTCCCCGCCTCGAAACGAAAGTTGCGTCACCATTTCTCCGATTACGCCTTGATGTAAGACGGCTCCCGATAAAAGATACCGTCGTCGGATATTGTGTTTCTGGCCGGCGCTGGTCGCCATAAAATACGACCAACTCGGGTTTCTAATTTGGTAAAAAGTTGGGCCGTAAAGGCGTCATAGCTGGATTGTATCTTATCAAATCAAGTATCTCATGATTCAAATTTGAGTACCAATAGTACTTGTTTCAGCTACAGGGAGCTTTCATACTACACATGTAACGGTGGTTACTTTAGAAAAGAAACTTGCTACTTCTTTTTTACTTATTCCATAGAAAAATAATGAAAAATTTGACGAGATGGAGGTGTTGCAATTCAAACAATTTGACAGTTTTGACGAGGAACTCATTGGTAAATTTTGATCCAAATATTTTTACTCGGGAGATTTTTTTCTATAATAATTTTACAGTTCGTCTTCTTCAGGCTGACCATAATCTGATAAAATAGAGTAGCTAAAAAAGTTCCTCACTTTCCATCAAGCCAATTGGTACTTGTAACTTAGAATTATCCGTGTAAAATCTAGTGTTTTTATGAATTTAAAAGAAAAAACATGCAATGCTGAAGCTAGTGTCGTTACAGTTAGTTTCTATGCAAGTTCAAAATTTTGGAACGAATTAAGACTTTCAAGTCTAAATCTGAAGAATGAAAAAGTTCGTTACAGCAAAAATGGCAACTCACGACTCGCAACATTAAAGAAACTCAATTCGACCTAGACCTTTTCGATAACTTTTCCCTTGCTCAATTTATCATTTTTCTGAAAAATTTTTTTCGAACGATAAAAGTTCTGGTGCTCTCTTTGGGATTTTAAAACACTAAAATTCAGCATTGCATGAACTGAGATCGCTAAGTTCGAAATTAAAGTAAAGGGTCTTACCTTGCAGCCCTCGCACGAATGGACGCCATAATGGAACCCTGAGGCTTTGTCACCGCATACTCGACATAAAACAGTTGTGCCATCGAATTCTGGAACAGACCAAAAATATTTCATTAAAATCTGGGCAGGAAAGCATATTTGCTACACTTGTATGCTGGAAAGAAAAAGTCCTGAAGAAAACGCAAATCAAATCGTCTTTTACGGCTAGGTGATCTCCTGCTTCTATAAAAGCAGGCGTACCCACATACGAGGATAAAATCCACTTTTAGAGTTCAATGACAGGTTTGTTATGCATGAAAAACAACCACCAATGATAGTTACTTCTGGTACTTAACAGGGCATATTAATTACTCATAGTGAGGATATTTAAAAGGGAAATCATGCATGAAAAGTTCGTGTGAATTTCGCAGGGGAAAACCTTCTGAGAAAAGGAAACTTGTTTCATCGCGATAATCCACGCATGACTTTAGGAGCGATATCGCAATGACATTAGAGAGAAATAAATATTCAAATTTGGAGGAAAAAACACACCGATATTGAGGACAGGCTCGTTGGAGGACAGACACCTCGTGTCCATGAGCGAATCAGGGTGGACGGTGGTGTTGGGCTTGCACTCCTCGTCATCGGAATAACTGATGGACACGGGGATTTGCGGGATAACGTGACCTTTGAACCGAACGTTGGGCACCGGGGATTTGCGGACGGGGCACGATTTCATAAGATCCATCGAGGTCGGGATCTCCAGCTCCGGTGGGGACTCCTCGACCTTGATCCTGGCGAAATTATTATCCACACAGCTAGTGTTATTATTGAGGGGGCGCGCGATTCGCCCGCACGCACTGCTGACATCACAGTTATCGCTATCACAGAAATCACTGGGGTTTTTCACGTAATACGTACACATAACACCCGGGGGCGACCTTCTCTGGGTCTCCCAGCTTCGATCCCCATTGACGTTGTTGTTCGAGTCACCGGGGGTCAAGTTCACGCGGAGGAAGTCCACCGGACTGTTATGCTCCGAGAACAACATTTCGAAACACTATAATCCAACACCGGTAAAACTACCATGTGTAACGACGACACAGAAAAAAACACAATAATCCAAAATGAGAGGGAAAAAGGCACTAGTAGATCGCACACACAAAAACCACGGGGAGCGGCGAGCTAACAGTAGACGGAGCGGACGCGTTAACAGTGAAAGTAAACTGCGGAGAGGATCCGACGAGTCGACGACGCGTACTGAGCGGAGAACACTGCTAGTCAGAATTCAAGTTCAAAATAACTACAAGGTTCACGGTCACAAGCGCTCAGCGCCGCTGTACGAATCTCGTCCTCATAGGTTGTAAACTCTGCCGCAACCCCCCCTCGCCGTCCCCCCCCCTCCCATCCCCTTGGCTGCTTCGCGGCACCCGTCCCCCGCCCTCACCCCTACGCTTGCTTTCCGCGCGGCGTTGCCGGCTCGGGGGCGGTTTTCCACCGGGAAATCCAAAAAGAACGGCGCGAGAGGGAAATTGCGTTCGTGTGAAAGCCGTATCCCGCTGCGAGATTTTTTTCAACGCGTTGAATTGTTGCTTTTCAATGATGTAACGTGCTATACCCGATTTACAACTCTATGAGATTTTTCGGGATTTTTTTTCGACGATGGAAATTATTTATGAGTGATATATTCTTCTACTTAATTGGTTTTTGGTACCTTGATAGGGAAAAAAATTTGCTGATTACTGGTTTAGGACTGATTTCAGCTTTCATCCCCGGTTTCAATTACGGTGAAAAAGAAAGCTTTACACGAAACATTTTTTATCCATGTGACTATATGAACTGTAACTGCTGTAATACGTGCGTTTTTGCCTGAATATGAATCAATTTCAAAAATTTGTCTGAATATAGTGGCGTCATTTGGGGAGGGTGGAAAAGGCTGTTGCCTCATCCCCCAAAATTGGAAGTTGGCCTCAATGCAAGTCTATTTCGGCCAATTTGGCTCAATTTCATGCCACTTTTTTTTAGATTTTCTGAAGTTTTGCCACGTCTTGTCTACACTCGTTGCCCTGCCCCAATGATGTGCCTCAAATATAACCCCCGTTTAGGATAGCATGCGAGGCTAGTTAAGGGTAGAGTCCCTTTATACTGAGAGTCAAGACAACACCCCCTCTCATGGAGTCAGAAACGGAAATAAAGATTACACAAATTGAACGTTTTTTGTAGTCTTTGATCGGCCCATTCTCAAATTCCTTTCTCCGTTCCTTCTCTCATTCTGTTTGTTCCTTGCCGAACCCGTAATTCCCCGGTCCATTCCAGATTATAATCTTTGCAATCGGTGAAAATGTAATCTTTATTCCCGTTTGTGACACTGCGAGGGCCTAAAATACGGAAACCAATCAGAAATGGTTTCACATTGTCTTGACTCTCAGTATTAAGGGACTCTCGTTAAGGGTGACCGAGGCCTCCTCCCTTCTGGAGCCAGAAATTGCGCCTAAAAAGAAGAAAGGGAGGGGGTAAGTAGAATTTCCCGACCCGGCAACCGCGTATCCACGTTGTAAAAATCCACACAATATCAGTTTCCCCGTTGCCCCTCGATCGGCGGCCGGATGGTGGGGCAGAGCCCGCGATCCAGCCGCCCGCGGTGCCGCTGGTCTGCGGGGACCCGCGGGAGGCGGCGGGGTTCGCTCGACCGAGAAAAAGCCTCGATTTTCTCATGAAAACTAAAAACACCCATACGGCTGGAAGGCGAGGGCCTCCCATTGGCCGCGGCTGGGGAGCCCTCGGTCTCCCCGCCCCCGCCGAAGCTGAGTCGCGCGGATAAACAAGCTCCGTGCCCCGGTCGAGTGCAATAACCTTGACTGACTGGAGTCGAACCAAGGACATTCACACTCCCGGGTTCCCCACCCTTCGGCGACCTATCTCGCGCTTTGTGCTTCGTTCGCGCCCTGCCCCCCCCCTCCCCTGTCCGGTGTTCGTTGACTTCGAAAAATGGGTGGGGCGACTCCGCGACTCCTCGGCTCGATTTAGAATAATGATGCCCCGATTGTTATTACGCAAGCCGTCCGCGCCTTCGTCCGAAAGAAATCGAAATCCATACTTAGGACCGGCTCGGTCGCTGCCAAAATATCCTAGACCCACCTTCCTCTCCTTCCGTAAAGTGCCTCCATAGCGAGAGTACGAGCACTGGAGAAACCACTTCTGATTGGCTCGGCTATCCCCCCCCCCCTAAAAAGAAAAAAAATGACCGACGTTGCATGCGATGCCGGGAAATGAGCTTTCGTTTGTGTGTATCACTGTTAATTTCAATTACACGGGACGAAACCGATTTCAAGCTTGAAATTCGAATAGTATATTCGATATATTAAGCGTCCAGCCCACTTACAAACTAGAGGCTTTAAAGAGGTTCATCGATGCCTTTCCTGGCCCTCTCATTGGCCAGCGGTTTGAGTCGGGGCAATCGATGAGTCTCTTTGAAGCCTCTAGTTTGTAAGTGGGCTGGACGCTTAATAAATTTACATTCAATTTAGACATCTAACTTCAGCAAAGATGGCAGCAAGTGTAGTAGTTGATGACTTCAAAGGTTCGGAAAAACTCCCTCTCAGGGATCAGCGCTAGTATTCGTCTGTAGGGGGACTCATGGGTGACGCGAGGGTAACGTGACATGAGTGACAATGTTGAGCCCCCGAAAATAACTTCTATGCATTAATTTTTTTTATTCGGATTTTGAAAATGGATCCAACTGATAAACGGTTCTATAGATTTACTGCATGTCTCGGCCTCAACCGCTTCGATCCAGAACAATGACGATGTTAATACTATGTACTATTAATACTATAAACAAAGCAACACAAATTCGGTCGTTCACTTGAAGAGAGATAAGGAAGGTAAACAAGCGGTTATCAGACGTCACGTGCTCCACGGAGCTCGAAGCTTTTTTGGATTCTCGAGCCGATCCAACTAAATGGAGGGTAAAATAAATGAATTCGTATTAAGTACGCCTGGAGATAAGTATACCAAGAATCCATGCATAAAAATCAATGCTTCATTCGGGACAGTGGAAGGGAGGAGGTCTTAAGAAGGAATGATGGGAGCCGTTTTTAAGCCTTCTTGAAGCTTCCCTGACAAAATTAAAATAAGAGCCAATTTGGTCAAAACTGGATTTAAAAATAATTTGACTGAGAAAAAAAGACATGTGATTATGGAGAGGGGCTCCGGAAGATCCTTCAACCCTTAATAAAGATCTACCTGATTGAAGCTCAAAAATATATAGGTCCCCTATCAATCCGCGGGGAGGGGCAGCCCAGTGCTTTGCGATATATCGATTGTTATGCCATTTAAACCTATGGACAAGGATCGAAAAACAGGCTGTTCGCAGCGAACACCTCAATAATCGATTCTTTTCCATAGGTTTAAACGGCATAACAATCGATAAATCGCAATTCACGCCACGCCACTGGGCCAGCCATCCGACCAAAAGCTCGGCGTCTGGCCGAAACCCAAAAATTCGATTTTCAGAACTAAGTTATGAGACCAGTGAGTCACAGCTCGACCGAGTGGTGGTTTGATCTGGGTGGTGGTGGTGGTGGTGGGTCGG